AGACCTTAAAAACTAATTTAAAAAAAATAAAAAATTGAGAAAGATGAAAAAGGCTTTATTCTTGCTTCTATACATACTATCTAACTAGAACCTATGTGGAAATGTTCTATAAGATCTTTGATATGTGTCTAATTTGTAAGATATATATCTATATATCTATATATATATATATATATATATATATATATATATATATTAACTTATAAGATAAGTTTTTTATATGTATATCAGATAGTTACCTTGTATCATAAGCTACCAATACGTGTAACACATGGCTTATTTGTTGGCCAAGTGTTCAACCTATCAATCACCTATAGACATGTATAAAGATGAAACCATGTCTATAGAGCTTCAAAAAAGATTTTTTATAACATATTATTATATTTATTTATTTTTACTTATTTTTATCTATTTTTATCTATTTATATTATTTAGATAATTATTAGAATAAATATATATATCCATGACAAGGTTTTGAAGAAAGAGTAGGACCTTTATTAGATATTATATAAGATTCTAGCTACATAATTCTAATTATAGCTCAACAAACTTATTTTCCAATATATTTTCTTTTTTAATAGTAATACTCTTTATTTTGTAGTTGCATTGCTTCTTTGATTAATAATAAGCAATATGCTTAATTTCCTATAATATAAGTATAATCTTTCTTGATGATAATAAGTCTTTTTTTGCTTAATAAGAGATTTAAAATATGTTGCAAGAATTTGCATGTCTTCTAGTTTCAAAATAGGAGGTTGGTATTTCCATTGAATTATAAAAATGTTGAGGTCTACTTCTACAACTCTCAAATCAAAATTCAAAAAGCAAATTGTCATATTTTACAACAAAATTGATTATTTGAATCAATGCTTTAAGATCAAGTAACTTTAGAATCAAGTTCTTTATTTCATATTGTAATCTATAAAAAAATTGGTTGATGATTGCAACATTATTTTATATAATATAAGTCGCAAGTTATCAAAATTATAAAAAATATAATATTTTTGATTGATTTTTTTGTTACAAAATACAAATTTTGTTAGTTGCAATACAAATTACATCATGTTTATTATACATGAATTAAAACATTTCTGAAAAAACCTTAAATTTATCCATTATTAAATCGTATTATTCAAAAAAGATAAAAAAAAATCATGATATAATAAAATCTAAAAATAGTATTATAATAAACCTAACTTGTGATTTTGGAATTTGACAACTTTGGTATTGAAGTTCAATCACAAGTTGTATTTAATTAATAAATCTTCAAAACTTTGATCTTATGCCAACAAACTTCTTAAATAAGATAACTTTTGGTTTTGTATTACTTGAATAGTATTCTATGATAGTAGAAATAAAAAAAAATTGTGTAGTTGTTGAAACAACTCCAATAATTTTTATATATTCACTTCCTACTAATCTTGTTATAGCTTGTGGTTGTAAATTGAGTTGATGCATTGCAAGTATTACCTTTCTTATTTTTTCGTGCATTTGTGCTACTATATGCTTCTTTTTAATAAGCTATATTATAGTCATACAATAAAAAAAGAAGATATCTAATAACCACTCAAGACAAATAGAAGAGAGTACTTGAGAAGAAAAAAAACTTCTAAGAATAATATCAATTAGAAGTAAATAATCTGTAACTTCAAAAATGCTTATTTTTTTATTTAAAAAAAGAAATAATCTACTATGAATAAAAAAAAGATAAAGCTATAATATTACAAGTATATTCTTGCTAATTTATTAAGAATAAGATATTAAAGAATGTAAATAAATAAGTGAGATATTACACAAAAAAGACAACAAAAAAGATATAAGTAAATATGTATATTCAAGAAGAAACGGAAATGGCTATTGCCAAAAGTCAAAAAAATTAGAGACTCTTAAAACTAGACTAGAAGCAAAAAAAAAATTGAAAAGAATGAAGAAAGCCTTATACTTGTCTTTGTATATATTGTCTAATTAAGAGCTACGTGGTAATATTCTATAGAACCTCTAGTACGTGTTTAACTTGCAAGACACATGTTTAACTTATAAGACAAGCTTCATATGTATATGCGACATGATGTGTACTACAAGTAGCTAACATGTGTGATAAGTGGCCAACTTATTGATAAAGTTTTTAACCTGCAAATCATCTATAGATACATATAAAAAGAAAATTGTACCTATAAAGCTTCTTTATAAAATATTATCAAATTTATTTATTTTTATCTATTTCTAACTATTCATATTATTATTATTAAGATAATTATTAAAGTAAATATGTATATTTTTAATAATATAGAAGATATTAATAAATATTTATAAATAGATTATAAAAAAATTATTAAGATATTAAGATTTTAGATGCTTTATTTTTATTTTTAATTTTTAGTTTATATAAAAATTTACTTTAATTATATATATTATATTTTTTAATTGATTATTATTTATAAAAGCATAATATTAATGAATGGTTTTTTTAAGTTTGTTGCTTATTTATTATCTTTGAATTAAAAAGAACTTAAGAAAATTTTGAGGCAATAGACAAGTAATAGATAGAAAACAAAATATTTTTTTAATTAAATCTTTATAAGTTTCATATAAAAAGCAAAGCTAGAAAGATTCTCGCTTCAATAAAGGTGGATACCATCATCCAATACATTCTTATTTCAAATCTAATTAATTATACTAGCTAAACTTTATTTTAATGTATTAATTAAGCAAGCTACAATTCTTTAAGACATTACATCTTCTTGTATAATACCTTTTCATGGACTACATTCATGATAGTTGATTCTCAAAGTACCAAATTAAATGAACATGTTGAACTTTTTTTTTCAACTTCTCTTAATTCTTCATTTAAATTAAATTAAATCATGTACATTCATCTATCATGAATACCTAATTTGAAGATTGAACCTTGGTAATGTTTTTTTTACCTCCTTATCAATGCACTGATTACACCACATTTATAGATATAATAATAATAATAATGATAAAAAAATCATAATTTTTTTTTTGTTTTGTTTTTTTTGTTTTGAAGACAACCAACGGTTCACTCTAACATGAGCTAGAATTATGGCCCGTTAACTTGGAATGGAGTCAACATAGCACAATAGTGGAAGCGTTGACCACGTCCTCGTGGTGATGTTGTAGCCGCAGTTCTCGAAAACCACAGCCACGTTGTGAAATTTCCACAAGGGATGATGGGTCCTCGTTATGATCCTGAAAGTCATCTTTGGTAAGTAAACAAAGGTTTGTAAATATATGTGTTTGATGAAGCTGCAATCAGTTGGACCGATGTCGAAGAATCTGTGCTCAGACCCACTCGGTAGGATTCGTAGACTGGTCGTGAGAGTCACCGTGATCTGCACCACGTAATCTTGCTGCTGTTTCAATCCTACTCGAACTCGAGTTTATCAGTAGGAAAAAAAAAAAAAAAAAAAAAAAAAAAAAAAAAGAAAAATCTCCTGTTGCTGAGATGGATCTGATCGCAGCCTTCATCGACATATTTTTAGTACCTTTGCAGATCCAGCTTTTGGCTCACTGCTGCTTCTTTTCTTTTCATTTTTTCTTTTTTTAATTTTTTAATTTATTGCATGAGGTCCCAACTTCCTGATCTTCACGACCCATCTAACCGAAACGCAGGATACAGATTCGAGGTTCGACTGCCGGTGAGTCACGTGCCACAATGCAAGCCATGCTGAAGGGACTGAGCGGCGCGAATGAAACTGAAGGAAACTGCCGAGTACCTGTAATAATGCCTCTTATTTCACATGCAAGGATACCAGATACTCTAAAGGTGCACTGATCCACCAGCTATGGGGGCTACGTGAACACAAGTCTGCTCCGTGAATCACAGGCCTGACGTTAACAACCACGTCTGGCTCAGTCTGTACACCAAAACCGTAACCAAAAAAAATTAAAAGATTAAAAAATAGTGAATTAAAGACGAACCGTAACAAGGAAACGATGTGAGCCAATCAAGCAAGACAAACCATCCACATGAAGAGGTCACATTTCTTCATCACATTAGACTAAAATCACTCTGCTTGCTCTAATTTCTTCTCTGATGTATGTTCCAAAGACTTACAAGAAATTGGCACAAAAAGGGGACCACACACGCGGAGTGTGGCCCTTGGATACCTTGAAGGGGGGGGGGGGGGGGGGATTGGAACCTGAAATGCACTGGAGAAGGTTCTTCATGTCACTAAAAACTCTAATGCAATGTTGCGTTGTCGCTGGACATTCTGAACGTCAAGATCAATCCAGTGGTAACCATTACCAAGTGATATCTTTCGGTTCGTTGATTTAGTACTCCACTCCAGATTTGCCACAAAGTGAACTACCTGTAATTAAAATGACCACATCTCTAAGGTCCTTTGTTGGTAAATACTCATGTGCTTCTCTGAACTTAGATTAGTCAAAAGGGTAGTCGGAAAAGGGTCTGTCAACTTCGTGAAATAGGTTCTGGACACAGCCTACAATAAATTCCAGCAAGGATAAATACGAGCTGCTAAGAGTGATAACCTGTCAATGAATTCGCCTTTAATATGGAGGGAACTTTCCACCGTGTTATCGAAGTTGTTTGTCCTTCTCCAACCAACTCCATGACTTGGAACTCACGATTTTTGGTTGCGCTTGTTACAGTTTTTGTAAATTTCCTCAAGACGTGAGCACATATCATCTGGAATCGTACTCTGTAACTTTACCATCTTGCCAACAGTGAGTGAAATCAAACTGCTTTCTGTTATCGCCTTGAAATTCTCTCAGTGGGCGTAGCAAACCACAGCAGTTTAACATTCCAGCCTGGATTGAACGGTATCTGTGCTTTGGGGGTTTTACAACGCATCAGCATCTGAGCACGCCAACCAATGAAATAGAACCCCCTTTCACCACAACGTCGACGCTTCCGAAATTGGCTTTGTAACATTCGTAAGATCCAACAACAATGTTGGCATGATGGGAAGGATACATGTGTAGAAACGTCAACAATACGAAGGGCGTTCGTGATGAGGGAAAACGATTTGGAGCCAGACATCCGCAATCGTGGACAGGAAGAGGAAATCGATTTGGGCACGACAATTTCCTTACGAGCAACTAGACAGAAACAAGACAAATTGTTACGAGAGAGAATAAAAAAAGCCTGTTAAATCTTATTAGGAAGGGATCCGGCTACATAAAAGCTTTGCAGTTCGTTATAAAATTGAATTAAACACTTACACAGCAGGATGAACTCACGTTAACCATGCATCTGAAAGACAAGATATTCGCCTCTGGAAAAGCTACATTCGTGTTCTCTCGACTAACCTTCAAAGTGAACCTTGACAAATGTGGGAGGGAAGCTTAGCTAGTTTGACTCATGCAAATGCACGATCATACAAAAGTAGTATTAAGTAAGCCTTTTATGAAGATCACAACTTCAGTTAAAAATGAAGCAGCAGTGATTCTTGGTAGCCAAGATTTGACTGTGGCACGCGCACACCTTCAGCACATAGTTCAGTTTGGTGATGGAGACACAAAACCACCCTGTTGATTCTTCTAATTCTTCACAGAATTGTCGCCTGCTTAATTATCAGGTGGATCAAAGGAGGATCCTGCTAGCTCACGAAACCAAAAGCTATGTATATCAACTTTCCAGCTCCGACGCCCATGTCCATCACGGAAGGAACGAAATCAACAACTCTTCTCGAACCTTTACGTTCGTGCTGTTGTTAAACCCTCTTCAAAATTAGTCTGGCTGGAACAGCCGACCTGCCAGTTAAGAGCTGTTAGCGTTTTGTTAGGTGCACCTCAAGGTTTTCCTGTCGTCGATTATCTTGAAGAAAGCAGTCTTGTGTTTGTGGGCATCCTTCAAGATAATTCAAATCCACTTAGAAAAGCCCTTTCGTCGTTGACAGGGACTCTCGTGCACTCCGCCTAGCAACAAATGTACTAGATAATTATTAGGGGACTTCCCAACGAGCTTTAGATTCTCCCGGTCACGTTGTCGATCGAAGTGTGAGAGTGCGTTCATGACGTAGAGAAAAGCAAAACTTCGGTATACGGACCCACTTAGTCCAGGTCGACTTGCATCAAGCGACTCTGGCCTAAAGCCGAAAGGTTGCTGCGAAGGGTGTCGGGAGGTATTGACGTACTAGCTACGTGTGTGAACTTCTTGACGAGGAGTTTGCTTTGTGCACGTATTCCACTGCAAAAAGTTAAAAAAAATGTGACGTACTGCGGATCAGAACAACTTCTCACACCCTACTTACGAAAAAGGAATCCTTTAATTTAATTTCGCAGACGAGGACTGCTACCCAAGCAGAAGTGTAAAAACTTTAATTAGCACTGATGATGAAGAGAAGGCGATGATTTCACGAGTTGTAATAATTATCTAGTACATTTGTTGCTACGTCAGGGAAATATGGGCCCATTCCGAGCATTGAACAAAGTCGAGATCCACAACGTACAGGGCTTCATGACGTATAAGGAAACATCAAAATGAAGAGCGAGCAATCGAGTCTGACCTTGCTTCCAACTTGTAGGATCTCCAATGGAGGTTTATCGGTGCAAGCCAGCCGCTGCAACTGTTGTGCTTCTTTTGTTGTGCCTGACTGTAGGTTGGTACAGAGTAGAAGCTGGTGGTTACTCTGCTTCTTCAGACGCAACGAGATTGCTGGGGAGAGGACTCATCACAGTGGACAACCACACTGCTCCCCCTCCGATCAACAACTAAAGATTGGGCTTACCTTACAGAACGGGGTATCACTTCCAGCCGAAAGGGTACTGGATGAACGGTACAATCCTCCGCAGTTGTGCTAATTCGTCACAAGTTCTATACACAATCCCCTATTAGTTGCACGAATCTGAAAAATAATTCCGAGTTACAGTTCCAAAGTTGTGTAGAAATTGCAAAGAATCATTCTAGACTTGGTTGAATCTAGACTTAGAATGTGGAACATGGCATTCGCAGCAAGGCGGAGCTTTGTCCTGCACAGAGAAAGTTTTTATTTTTATTTTTAATCAATGAGCACGTCAAGATTCGCGTAATACTTCTGTCCAATCTGACTGGTTGCTATGAATCGAGTCTTGTGAAACAAATGTAAGCGTCACAGTGATGTGCTCAATACTGGAGCTTGCAATATGCTGTGTAGTTCAGATATTCAAATGCTTTGTGTAATGAAAACTTGGACCTAAATTGACTCATGGCTAGAATCTCACACGCTTGGCTGCTGTGGGTGTGACTTGGTTGGAACGAACTCCGCATTTTCGACTCACGATAGATCCAAATGGTAAATTTGCAATCCTTTTTGTGTGTTTCTCCTGGAATTTGTATTCTGCAATTTTGCAAATTACAGTTGGTTCTTACTTGTGGATATGGAGGTCAGAAGGTAACCCGTGCATTCTGGACCGAGACTCTGGTTGATTGCAGGTCCTGTATACTACAAAGGCTATTATCACCTCTTCTATCAGTACAACCCATTTGCGGCCATTCCTGGCAACATCGAGTGGCACCATGTCGTCTCCAAAGACTTGATCCGCTGGAAATTTCTGGGAGCAACCTTGAAGCGCGATCAGTGGTATGATGCCAATGGCTGCTTTTCAGGTTCTATCACAATCTTAGACGATGGCACCCCGGTGATTCTCTACACTGGAAATTCCTTCGAAAACAAACAGGTCCAAGCGAGGGCTGATCCCGAGGATCCATCTGATCCCCTTTTAAGGAAATGGGTTAAGGTGAGCAAAAAATTTGCCAACTGCATTGACGATCTTTTGAGGGCCGAATTTTGGGTACTAAATTTTGAGTCATTTCAGCTTTTCGAGCGAGAGGTTAAGCCTCATTCCACCTCTGTTGGGTTAGATCGCTCAGGCTCCTTACAACCCTATTGCTCCCATACCTCCCGGTTACAATTCATCGCAATTTCGGGACCCCACAGAAGCATGGAGACTTTCCGATGGGATGTGGCGGATGCTGGTGGGAGCAAACGCCGGCGAGGGAGGACTGATAGGGACTGCGCTTTTGTACAAGAGCACGGACTTTCAGACATGGAATTTTTCCAACCGTCTACACGAGAATCCCACAACGGGAATGTGGGAGTGCCCAGATTTGTTTCCCGTGAGGATCAAGGGTAGGAAAGGTCTGAATGCATCCGCAGTTGGAAAGGGCGTGTTGCATGTCCTGAAAGTCAGCTTGGATCTGAACAAACATGACTACTACTCGGTCGGAAACTACTTGACAGAAACCGATACATACAAACCTCTCATCGCAGAGATCGACACTGGCATCGGACTGAGATACGACTATGGGAAGTACTATGCGTCGAAGACATTCTTCGATCCCATACGTCAAAGGCGCATTGTATACGGATGGACAAACGAGTCGACGAGCACGATGGACGACGTTGCGAAAGGATGGGCAGGCCTTCAGGTACACACTGATCGAATTCACAGCATGGGTTTCCGACCAGTGCCAATTAAATAATCGCGGATTCGATATTGTTCCCAATGCCTGCCACTTTGCTCCTTGGAGGACCTTCCACGAGTAATCTTAACCTTTCTCATGTCGCCGGATCTGCAGTCAATACCCAGGATTGTTTATTTGGATCAAAGGGCCAACACTAGCCTCATCCAATGGCCCATCGAAGAAGTTCAGACACTACGGCGCAAAAAAATTACCGTAAAAGACGTGAACCTCGAGGGAGGGGAAGTAGCGCGCTTGATGGATGTTTCGGGTGTTCAGGTTCTCGTCGTTTCAAATCTTCGAGAAATGCCGTTTACTTCCCTGAAATTTGAGAGGATGTCGTTCTTCCTTGTGGCTAATCACGTTGCTCTTTTTCGTTCATTGCAGCTCGATATCGAGGTCGCCTTCAAGATCCCAGATGTTAAACAAGGATCGACGCCCACCGAATTGATTGCTGAATCAGGACCCAGCATATGCAGCCAAAAGGGTGCATCAATGAGGGGTATGTATGGACCTTTCGGGTTACTAGTGCTCGCTTCCAACGATCTGACGGAGCAGACTGCAGTGTACTTTTACTTTGTGTTTACTAAGAAAGACGGCTGGAAGACTCTTGTCTGCAGTGACCAAAGCAGGTAATCACTTGCCCAATTGTCCAACTCGAACACCTTTCGGCAATGATCTTCTGTCCTCGGAACAACAACACATGAAACCTCGACTAAACCTCGTAGACAATGCTTCTTGGTGACAGATCCACAGTCTCGATGAACCTTACCCCAGACAAAACAACATACGGCAGCTACGTGCGCGTCTACGACGATGAAAAGCTCCTCAAACTACGCCTTCTTGTAAGCATACATATCGACGGCGACCCAAATAGTGATGCAACATTCAATGACACATTTAACACACCCTAAGTGATATTAACACGTGTATTACATTGAAGTAGAACAAGAGTAACTTGAAGTATTTAGAGTGCAGCAAAGTGTTCCATGTGTTTTTTTCCTTTTGTTCTTTTTTTTTGTTTTTTTCCTATTTGGGTACAACGTCGTACCCAAACAATCGATTGTCACTGATCTGTGTGGGATGATCGCAGGTGGATCACTCCGTCGTGGAGACATTCGCACAAGGCGGCCGCACGGTGATCACCACCAGAGTATACCCGAAATTCGCACAAAGCAAAAATGCGCGTGTTTTCCTGTTCAACAATGGCTCTGAGACGGTGAATGTAGACTCGGCCACAGTGTGGAACATGGCAACAGTGAGGTTTGTAGATTTTGGACAATGAGCAAAAAAACTCAGAAACTTCAGCCTAACTTGTAGCAATACGAGGGCAAAAATAATGAAAGAAACCTGCAAGTGAAAGCGGTTTTTGATATGCTTCCCAGCCACACTTGCAAAGGAATGAGGAGTCATGGATGTTTGTTGCATTTTGCTGCAATCAGTGCTTCTTAAATTCTTCGAACATAATGCTACCGCTCACCCACAGTTTTCTCGCGTTGGTTTGCATTCTTCAGAAGTTCAGTGCGAAACCCTAAATTTCCAAGTTGTTGAGCGGACTCTATTCCTCTGTGATGAGCACAATTCCAAACCTTGTAAAGTTTGGACACACGAGAATATCTAAAGGTGTTAAATTTCTTTGTTTTAAAAAATCCTAGACACTACAATACTGTTCAAAAATTTATGTTTATAAATGTACCGATTGAAGTGCATTGGAAGGATTTATCACATAATTTAGAACAAAAGTTTAATCTCAAGATTTAGCAATTGAAGGTTAAGTTAAGATTTGAAAAGAAAAACATACTAGAAGAAGTAGGGTGTATCACCACACTACAATGCAACTTAGGGTTTTAAAGTTGTTCTTTGTTGTAGGATTTGTTGTAAGACTTAGGTGTGGCTTTAACTGGAATACAAATTAACTCAGTACATTGCTTTATGAGGAAGTTGTTGTTAAGAAATATAGAAATCTTGGTTGAATATTGGAAGTTACAGTTTATAAAAAGATCGAGTTGGTATTAACTCTAATGCTGCATAGAACCTTAAACGTGGTAACAACATTATATTATTTAAAATAGTTATTTTATTTATTTTTTAAAAATCAGAGTTTTTTTTATAAAAATTATGACAATTTTTAGAAAACAACAAATTTATGACAAAACTTGTAAGGTAAGGTTTTTTGTAGCTCTATATTTAGAAAAAAATAGAATCTAAATAATTTTGTCACCAACGTAGTTACTATTTGAAAAAAAACTAGTCTATATCAACCACAAAACATTTCAATTTGATATTTTATTTTAAATAAAAAAAAAACCTTCAATTGAAAGAACATCCTTTCTTATAAAAGTTCAAGAATAAATAGATTGTAATAACATAAAAACCCATATATATACAAAGTATAGATATGGGGTCCAAAAAAACAAATATATTCTTTTTTAATTCCAATTATAAATATTGTCTCTTAACATCCAATATTCTCAATCAATTCCAACTTTATACTCCATCTTTTTATTTTACTCTATTTAAAGCCAAAATATCCAATTTTAAATATTACATATTAAATAACTTCTATCATAATTGATTTAAGAAAAGCGACCTCTATTTGAGTTGATCTTGTTCAGAGCATTAAATGTAGCCGACGCTCTCTATAACATTTATTGTAGACTACAGTAAATACCATAGCTACAATATTCAGAATGTAGTAGAAAAGAACTATTTATCCTCTTCCCTTTCTCTCCTTGTATACAAAACACAACTAGATCAATAGATTTTTATGAGTCAAGATCTTTCTCCTTAGAAACCCTCTTATGTGTATTATTTACAATTACTCTTGTGTGTGTGTGTATGTATTACTTACTACTACTCTTGTATCTTTCTAAATATTCTCAACACATTATCAACACGACTCTCTTCTATAGACTATCACAATTCTTTTTGCTCTAGTCTTGATGCTTCAAACTTGTTGCTACTCTTGCTCACTATCTACCTCATGATTTTACTGCACTTCTTGTTGGCCCCTCACACATTAACTGCTTGCTTAGAGCACTTACTCCACTCTTTGCCCTACTTCGTTAAAATACTTGCTCCAACCCAGCCTCCCTATTGCACCTCATGCCTGCTGCTAAATTGCCACCATCACTGACCGCCAACTACCATTGACTGCCAATTGGCTGCTACCGCCTGCCCACCTTTGCTACCTGTCATGGTTGCCCGCCCGCCGTCGTCGGCCTGCTACCGCTACCACCTTACCGCCTGTCGCCATCCTATTGCTACTCTACTACCATAATCTACAACCTTGTGAAATATAAATAAATAAATAAATAATATTTTTGATTTTCAAGTTCAAGTTTATCATTTTATTTGACTTTATATTTTAAGTTACATTTTAGTCAACTTTTCTACTTAATCTTGTATTTTCTTTACAGATTTATTTATAATGAGTGATTCATTATTTTCAACTGCTTCTACTATGGTTCCAACTATTATGAGTGCATCCCAATATTTTCAAGCTCTTTTATTTCCACCACTGATTATGAATGGAAACAATTATCTATTATGCACAAAAATGGAAAAAAGTAAATTTATATGTAGAACAACTCTCGGATGTCATTATGTTTGAAGAATCTCCTACAATTAGTATTTCTATTCCTCTTGCTATTTGTTAAAAAGTACTTCTTCTCCTTTGTTATCATCTTGTACTTGCATTACAACATCAATATTTGGAAATAGAAGATCTTACAGAACTTTGGAAGAATCTTAAATCCAGGTTTGATCATCAAAAGATTATTTTCTTTCTACGTGCATGTCATAATTGGACACATTAATGTGTCTTGGATTTTTTAAATTTAAATGCTTTCAATAGTGAAATGTATAGTATTATCTCACAATTATGATTATGTGAACAAAGCATCTTTGAAGAACAAATGATTGAAAAAACTCTCTTTGCATTTCCTCCTATATCTGCTATGCTTGCACAACAATTCAAGAATATAAAATTTCAAAGTCATCCTGATCTCATATCCTATCTACTTCTTATGGAGAAGCAAAATGAGCCACTCTTGCGCAATGCAAAAGCTCGTCCTATTAGAACCACATTTTGAGAATCTCATGCATTTAATATTTTAAAGTTTAAAAAAAAATTATATAAACATGGAAAACATACTCATAAACATCAGGATAGTCATAGTCATGACCATTTCTATCCATATAAAAAGAATTAACATTCTACTAATAATTATAGTAGAAAACAAAACTCAGAGATATGTTCTTGCCATAAGTGTGGAATGATTGGACATTTTGTACATGCGTACCGTACTTCAGAATATTTTATTAAAATATTCCAAGAAAATAAGAAACTACGAGGTGAAGCTCGTGAAGTTCATACTATGGATGCATCCATAGATTCAATTGGTGTTGATGACTTAGAGGCTTATATGAATGACAAAACCTCTAATGATAAATCAAATGATGAGCTCATTGATTCTGCAACAACACATACTATCTCGCAAGATAGATGATTTTTATTGAAAAATCTTTAACTTGATAAACTAAAAATATGATGACCATGGTTGGAGCAAATGCGTTTTGTTTCCAAGATGGCACAGCAATAGTAAAATTACCTGCGAGCTCTATTATAAAATATAAACATGCGATATTTTGTCACGGACACAAAAATACAGACTCGAGATCTAACAAGAAGTTCAAGAAGAACTGGCAAGAACTAGATTAATCAGATGAGAACAACACCAGAGAGGTGAACTAGAGCTCCAAGAGATGTGTTGTCGAGACTGAAGAACTCTTCAGCCTCGATCCCAATATATACTTCTATTTAGGAAACTTCTCAAGCAACTTCTACTAACTAGGAAGCTTCTAGAAGGTTCCAGAGACTTGCTTCTAGAAGGTTCTAGAAACTTATCTCTAGAAGGTTCTAAGGACTATATCTCTAATATCTTCTCCTAACTAAGAAGCTTCTAGAAGGTTCCAGGGACTTGCTTGTAGAAGGTTCTAGAAACTTGTCTCTAGAAGGTTCTAAGGATTATGTCCCTAACATCACCCCCTCCTTTAGCTTCGAGGTCTCTGAGAAGCAATGTTGTTGATCAGTACCAACGCAAGAAAATGAAGATCTATCGCATAACGTCTGCTATGAACTCCAACTGTTGTTCATGAGGCAAGTGGTTCATCGGCCCTTGAAGCTAACGGTAGTGGCCCACTCATTCAACTTCTGACCAAGCATGAACTTTCGTATCTTCATTGTGAAATTGTCCTGCAAACACGCCTTCTGGCTGACCATCGTAAGCAAGCTCGGACTCGAATACAATCACCAGTGATTAGTTACTCAGATTCCTCCATCGTCGTCGTAGTATAGGCGGTTCTTCATCTCGGGGTCGCCTTCAAGAGCTAGTCGGTTGAGATAATCTGATTGGCATAGTATCTATCTCTTGGCTATCCATATCAGAAGACCAAACTATGGCTACTGAAAAAAATTCTATTTTATCTTGGAGAAAATAACTACATCAACTATGAATTTTGGTGTGCTCTCCTCCTTTCTTATATTCTTGGGTGAGCAAGCTTCTAAAGGAAGCTTTCGTCGAACCGGCTTAGGTTTATGAGGATGTTATTAATGAAATTCCTGTACTTTTTGTGGGACATTGGTGAGATTTTCAGCTGGCTGCCACGTTCTCTCATTAATGTCGTAGCCGCACCAATGAACAAGATACTCCAACTTACCCCACCTTCGCCGAGAATCCAGCACCTTTTCAACCTCGTATTCCTCGTGGTTTTCAATCTCAATACTAGGTGGCGGACATTGCACTCTTCCAGAAAAAGATAACTCTCGATAAGGCTCCAACAAAGAAATATGAAAGATTGGATGTACCTTCATAGAAGCCGGTAATTCCAGACGGTACGCCATTGGATTGATTTGCTTTTGGATGATAAACGGTCCCAATCTTCGATAGTCCAACTTATCACATGATCGCTTGGTCTTGATATTCCGTCGAAGAAGCCATGCTTTATCTCCAATTTTAAAAATAGGTGCTTGATTTTGAAATCTATCTGCAGACGCCTTATAGGATTCTTGAGCGGATTGTAATTGAAGCTTCAACATATTTTGAAGCTCAGATAGTTGTTTCGCAAATCCTTCAGCTGCTGGATTGTTATTTGTTGATGGACTCAATAAATCAAGCTTCGGATGATACCCATAGTTGGAAAAAAATGGTGTGTATTGAGTCGACAAATGGAGGGTGTTGTTATATGCAAACTCGACTAGCAATAGATATGTGGTCCAATCGTCTTGTTGATAGTTGATGCTGCATCGTAAATATTGTTCCAAGACTTGGTTCACCCGTTCCGTTTGGCCGTCAGTTTGAGGATGAAAAGTCGAAGAAAGCTTAAT